ACCCAAGCTCTTTTTTTCGGGGGGGCCTTGGGTTGTCCGATGGCAAGCCCATGTCAATTTGCGATAAAAATGCCTGGCTTTCTTCCGAAGACTCTGCACGTTCTTACATGGAAACCGTTCCTGAATCTTTCGAGGAATCTCCTTGTGGGGCACCCGTTTTGGGGTTCTATGTCAATCCGCGGGAGAGAACATTCATCAGCTGGGTTTGTCCAGAGTTCAAATGCACGTTCCCCAGGAAGGTTGCGGAATGGGATCACTGGGATCTGCCCAAAAACAGCAATGCCTGGTGAAACTACAACCCATTAAAACGCATCATTTGTTTCTAGGCGGGGACACGTTCGTCATATATTCCAACTGCTTCCAAGGCTGCTTCGGTCAGAAAGGATAAGCAGGCCAGCTTGAATGCAGAAATGAATCACTAACCATCTAAAATGAGTGACAGTGCCGCATTTAAAAGGAGAGTTTCGCCAGGTCTCACGAAAGAAGGGGCAAAAGGGAGAACCACCGAAACGTAAAACTTACCCCTTAAAACTCCAAGCCCTGGGGAAGTTAATCTTTTACAGACATATAGCCCATGCTACCGAAAAAGTTGAAAAGTTGTGTTTTTAAGAGGTAAGAAAAGCATAAACCTGCAATCCTTGGCATTTTCCCTGGCCGATGGGAGCACCAAGGCTCATGGGGAACGGTCAGCCATCTCGCCTCAGGCCATGCTGCGAGGTGCGTGTGAGGCTCTGCAAGAACCGCTCCCAGCGGCCTGCGGGGCGCAGGCCGCGTCAACATTGATCAAAGAAGAAGACTCTGACTGCAGCCGTCCCCTTGAAACAAGCACGATGCTGAGGTGCTTCCCCCTCCATTCACGAGGTTCAACAGCAAGGGAACAAGTCACGCTTCTCAAAGTCCGCTTGTCCATAAAGATCTCATCGAACCGTCTGCCCCTTCATACTTTCGGGCCGCCTTCGAAGGGGTTCCAAGCGGGCTTCCTGATATCAACAACTCCGAACCTTTACGAAAGGGGTTATACGATGCTCCCCTGGAGGGTGTTGGGGGAGCGATCCGCCTGCCACCGCAACCCTCCCGGAGCCTGGCTGGATCCAATGCCTCAGAGCTGTCGCCGGGAAGCTCTAGGCGAAAGCAAACATGCAAGAAGCAGCTGACAATATGGGTGCATCTTTGTTGAGGGTACCTGGTTTGTTTCGGGAGGGGGGGTTAAAGGGAAACCCAAAGGACACCACCATGTCTTTTCTTTTACAGCTTATTTTTTGGGGGAGGGGGGGTCCGATTCCTAAAGCAACACATGCATTGCTATATTGCCACAAACCGATACACGGACCAACTGCCCAAGCTGCCAAGCCGCCGGGCACCACTCAAGCCGACACTTTGCCTTGTTCTGGTCTTTGCTTGGGGGGCTGTGTTTCTATTCAATTGGTAAATAAATTGGCTCGGCTCCTGGGCTTCGCGATAAAAAACAAAATGCGTCCCATTGCGTCATTTTACAAGAGGCTTCCAAGCATTTGGTCAGTGTCTCACATGAAAGGTTGACAACATGGCCGGACCCCGCAAAGGGGTCACAACCTTTGGGGTCCAGACACCCAGCTAAAGACAAGACCGAACTCCCTCGACCCAAAGCGGGAGTGGGGTACTCCTGCCAACCTGCCTGCCAATCAGGGTGTCCGACCATGTTTATTTGTTTTCACAACCTGCATCTTGCACAAAATCAGCGCTATCCAAAGAAAGCTCCGTCGAGGACTCTGTGAGTTTCCCCAACTCCACGGAGCATGGGGGATGACAGCTGCTCGGCCTTTTGTGTACAACGGCAGGCTTCAAAAAGGCCTCCCCCTATGATTGTTGGAGATGGGGTTGGCACCATTCATTGAGCTGTGGTGAAACCTTTTGCGATTCATGGTCATGGTTCCCCTAGAAAGTCGATCATCCTCAGCTGTTCAGTGACCCTGGAAAAAAAGGGAACCCTTGTTGGGGAAGACCATTTTCAGTGGGGCAGCCACCAAAAAAAGGGGAAAAAGGGTGCCACTGAACAACTGAGCATCTGAACCCCCCCCCAAAGCGATTGATGACCAGCCCGCCCGGACACCGGCACTGGCTCGGCCAAGACACGCTGCACTCATGTAAAGCCTCAAATGTGTCGCAAGCACAAGCGCGCTCGCGTGACAGACTTGTTGATGCAGGTGCCGTTGGCAAGACCAGTCGCATTTGCCACAATAGTGCGGGATTTTGTGAGTTGCTCACATGAAAGCTTGACAAGTGGCAAGACCCTTTTTGGGCCCTCACATCCTTCACAGGTCAGAGAGCACGAATATCACAAATGTCCCAAGCAGTCTCAAAACACATTTTGGACGGCCTGCATCAAACTGCCATTGTTGCTGCGCATGCCCTCTTTGTCAAGGCCCCCAATCAAGATCTGAGTGTTTCCTAAGTTAAGACACCTCAAAATCATTTGGTACAGCCACACATGTGTGTCCTTTCTGCAACACAGCAAAGGAGGAGCTCATCTCATCTGACTTTCTGGCCGCACAGGAGGTCGTACGATTGCCCGAACGACCTTACTGGCTTAAATGCAGTCTTCCCTTTGCCGCTATGCTTACCAATAATCCTTGTTCAGAACAGAGAGAACAAACAAGCAAATGCAAGATGTTCGGAGCCAAGTCTCAAAATGCTCCGCTGCAACTTGCTGCTCATGCATTCACGAGGCATCCCGGCGAGCAAATCCAACCCTGTGAGGGGGCCGCCCTTGTCAGAATAAAGACCTGTCCTTTCAAAACAATCCAGCCACAACAAGTGTCCAAAACCCAGGATTTCCAACCAACATGTCGCTGGGCAAAGATATCACTAGGCGTAAATCCTGTTTTGCCCAGAGAAAACCACGCTGGCCGAAACTAGGTATGCACCCTTTTCACCGTTAAGCCCTCCTGTTTTGACACACAGTGGTTCCTTTCCCTGACTACGTAACCAAGGGAACCATGGCACCTTCTAAACAACGAACAGCCACAGCTTAACCAGAAACCCGGCAACAAAATAGTTTCAGCAGGATCTCCTGTTGGGAGGATCCCCCCTTTTTTGGGGTTCCTTCCGTTGCTCAGGGGATCCACTCACCCATTCCGACCTCGGGCGCTGGCAGCTCGGCACGGTCCCCGAAGCCCGCCGTGGCCGTGGCCTCGCGTCGGTTTCGGGTTTCGCGGTTTCGCGGTGTCGGGTTTCGCCTCTGCTTGGTTGGCGTTGCAAGGGGAGCAAAAACTTGAGTTTGAGCAATTAAGTGGGGATTTCCCACTAGACCACAATAAGCAAAATGAAAAAAATGTGTCCAACAACAAACATGTCTGAGCGACGTAACTTACTTCAGATTCCCTCCTTGTTTGGCGGTTGGGAGATGTTGAGAGGTTTGGTGGTTGAGTTTCCCATTTACCCTCAACAAGAAGCAAGGGTGAAAATTCCCCCAAACCACCAATCCATGCCACCAATTAAGGGTATGCCAACCAACCAGGTAGTTGCCACTAAATGATTGTCCCTGAGTGAGGCAACCATCGAGTATGTATCCTTCCATCCGTGTTAACATGGAACCCAAAGGGTCCCAATAAAGGAACATGGTCCAAACCAGGACCAGTCAGGTTCCATGCAAATTGGTGGGAGGCTAACTTCAAACTGGGCCAAGGCCCGCTGAAGGTCGCGTTTGTGACCAGGCAAAAGACTTGCTTGCTATATATGCTGGTGCGGAATATGGGCAATGCTCCTTTTCCCCCCTTTCGGACCCCATTTCGTGGGCTCCAGAGCTAATTACATCCCTGAGAAGCAAGTTCAGCTCTCGCCTTTCTAAACATACTCATAACCTGGTTGGAAGATTTGTTGGGAATCTCTCAACGCTAAAAACACGCCTCACAAACATAGAAGGACAGAAGGATTGCAACCAGCCCTTGCTGATCCACGAGAAAATATCTGCAAGCTTCACGGTTGGAATCTCTGGGCTCACAGGCAAACCCTCTTGTGGCCCCCGAGAAACCCTGTTAGGAAAGAATCCAGTACGTGGAGCAAAAGGCAGTGCGTGTTGGGGATGGCGGTTGGTCAAGGATGTTTGCCCTCTCCCCCAACCACTGTCCCCAAAACAAACGTAGGCTAGACATATATATATATATATGTATAGTAACAATAATAAGAATAATAATAGTAATAAAAGTATAATTATAATTATAATTATAATTATAATACTAGTTTCTTTAAAAAAAAAATCAATAATAATAATTAATGATAATAATACTAATAATAATAATAATAGTAACCATAATAATAATAATAATAATACTAATCAGAATAATGATAATAACAATAATAATAATAATAATAATAATAATAATGATAATGATAATAATAATAATAACAATAATAACAATAATAATAATGATAATAATAATGATAACAATTTAATAATAATACTAATAATAATAGTAACCATAATCATAATAATACAAATAAGAATAATGATAATAATAACAATAATAATACTAATAATAATAATAATGATAATGATAATAATAATAATAATAATAATAATAATAATAATAATAATAATAATAATAATAATAATAATAATAATAATATATAACCCTGCATTTCCTCCACTAGTGATATGGTGGTGAAACTCTGTGAGTCGGAGTACATCATGCATCTCGCTAGTGAGCAAATAGCCGAAGGGGACTTACCGACCATGGCATTCGGAAAAAATGAATTCCTTGATATGACGGAACTACCGGGAACACCGGATTCATAAACCCAGTTCATTTGAACGAGGGGATCCCTGGTTCTATTGAGGGTTCATCACTTCAGGGAACACCCCCTGAAATAGGACGGGTTCTACTTAGATTCGGGTCAAAACTTCCCTGGCAACTGATGGGTGCGAGCCACTTCGACGTGGGGGTTGATCCAAAGGTCCGTGATACATGGGATGACTTGCTGGGAACACCCCGCTAAAAAAAAAAACGATGTCCACCACATGGGAACAGCTACCCATGGTCAAAACTGGGGGCCGAAGGTAACCGGGCTGTCCTGAGATTGTTTCCTTAAAGTGGGTTCAAATGGGTAACCGCCACCTTTCACCACTGAAAACTGGACAAAACCTTTCTGAAACCAGATGGTCTTCGGGAACCCAAGGAATATGTTTCTCAATCCCCAGATCGCGCCTTGCCGCAGTGCGAGGCGTAGGCGGCGGGCAGAGTACTGGGCACCTCCCTGGCGAAGAGCTGCGCTCTTAGAAGGCGACCGTCGCAGTTCGAGAATTCTTTTCAGGGTGCCCGTTTTTGTTGGGGAGTTCAAAAGACAACTCAAGGAAAAACTGCCATTTGGGGGGGGAGGGGGAGGTAAAACAAAAAAACAAGCACACACCCATATGTGGGCGTGTCGTTGTCTTGGAGTCGGACCCCCAAAATGGTGGTGTTCCTCGTGGTTTCCCTCTTAAAAAACCAAAGGGCAGCCTTAAAAACAAGAAACACATCCCTGTGTTGAAAAGGATATCCAGCGAGTCTGAACATCTCTCAATTGTGTCCATGACCCCAAGGTAACATCACTCCGGGTGCAGCTTGGAAAAGGCGATCGTGGCGGTTTGGTCAAAGTTGCCATCGTCTGGTGGGTGCCTAAAGGCAAACCAAAGAAAACACAAGACTTTCTGCGGTCCCCCATTCAGCGGGTGGTTTGAAGCCCTGAACAAGAGAAGACGTACCTTGCAAGTCCGATAATGCAACACCCGCGGCCGAAACGACGGATCTCTGCTACCGTTGACGGGGAAACCGAAAAGACGTAGCATTTGATAGGGCAATGTGGGGTCTTCCCCCAAGCGGCGCTCACCCATTGACCTTAGTTTCTCTCAGCATGATTGCAAAGGTGTAGATAGTCCTAACCCAGGAACCAACGACTCGTAACCCCGGACTTGAAGCCTGGAAGGGCCATCTTGCCATCCGAAAGCGCGATGCGGGGGGGGGGGGGGTGGATGATGCTCTGCTCATATTATCTTCGAGTTGCAACGAGGGAAATCGGTTGAGCTGACCCAGAAAGGGTCTCTTATATGATTCCCTGCTTCCTTGTTAGGCACTTGGAAGCCATTTGTTTTGCCCGAGGCCACACCTCAAAACTGGCAACCCAGCTTGGAATCCGGAATCTCCAAACCAACTCATGGGTGCTTTTTTTGGCCTTACCTGGGGAAGGCCCGACCTCTACACCTCAAAACCATCACTCTTGTACATCCTCGAAACGCGGGTTGGATTCCGGAATCCCCCAAAGCAACAAAGCAAGCCTGCTTCGGTACTTTAATACGACTAATCCGAGTGTTTGGGGGTTCCAAATCCGTGCCTTCGCTAGTAGCACCTATTCAAATTATCCTATGGCCTTGACTCACATTGTGCATTCTACCAACAAAAAGCTGAAAGTTTACCAACTCAAGAGGTAGCATACTGGTACACTCCCACCCAATAAGTCTTGGAAGCTCACTGGAGAGAGACTACTGTTCAAATCCGCATTCGACTCGGTACAGATTCAGCCGTCACCTCAGGGGCAGCTGCGAAATGGCCTGCGACCTCACGGCGAGAGCGCCGAAGAAAAGCGCCGTTTCAGGTCGCCTGTGAATGCCTGTGAGGTTCAGCTTAAAATGGCTGGCATCTTCCGAAATCAAACAAAGAACACGTGTGACATATTTGTAGTTTGACTTGGCTGGATCTTTTGGTGGACATCGTTTAGGGATTCATGTCTGCACGCTTGAGGCCGTTCCAAATACAAACTCATTGACGTACAGATTGGAAACAGGTGACCGAACAAACGCTGGCATGCTGATTGAAGGCCACAAAAATCTAAACTCTCCCAAACGCGACTGGGCCAAAGAGAGGAATGTGCACTATGCTTGGTGGTACCCTGGCATTGCTTTATTCGCGGCACCAAATCTCAGCATCTGAACCCTGAAGATCCAAGTTAGCTGTTTGAGTCACCAGGGAGCCAGGGAGTCATTTTGGGGGCCAAAGTACCCACTTTGGTGCCCCCGAGCTGACGCGCTGAGCTCGGGCGAGCGACCAAGCCCCCGGCAGCAAAGCAGACTTGCCGGAGCCCGCCGGGCCCAGCAGCAGCAGGGGGCTCTGCGAGCGTTGCAGCACCTTCCACCCGGTTGCGGTGAAGGGAAACCAAAGGAAACCAAGAGAAACCAAGGGAAACCAACCCAACTTCCCATCAGAATTTTGCAGATGCGCCTTGCCGTGCCATTGGTCGTGGTGGTTGCTCCCTTAAAAGAAACCCTTCGAGTGGGACCTTTGATGGAAATAAAATGTAGTCATTCATGAAACCCGCACCATATTCCCCAACTGACAGCTTTTGATTCTAGATTCCACGATCCAGGTGCTCGAAACTGATCCCCCCTCACAAACAAACGTCCGTTTTGGGCAATGCTGGCCCCTTGGCATCTCCGAGCGTCTTTAGTCTTTAGCCCCTGCGCCGTGAGTCCAGCCGGGCCCCTTGGCCCCCGCACGCTGGCCAGCGCCAGGAAGCGCTTGGAGAGCATGGTGGGCACCAGGACGTAGGCGTCCAGGTCCGCCATCTCTGGCTCCTTCCTCGCGTCGCTCTCGAGATCGGATCGAGTCGCTCGCGGATCGATCGGCGCCGCGAGCTGTGTTTTTCTTCTTTCTTCTTCCGCAAGCTTGTTTTTTTTTTGTAAAAAAAATGCGGAAACAAGCAAGATTCTGGAAAATGAGTGGGGAAGGTTACATCTCCAACTGGTTGCTGTTCTGACCGCAGGTTTCCGTGATGCCTTCAGCTGTGATCGGTTGTCTACTCGCCCCATGCGGAATATTTCCCTAATGGCCAAAAAGCGGAGAAGGGTCCCTTTTGGAGGGGGTACCCGAGGCCCTTTCCATAAATTGCAAGACGCCGCGGCAAATAAAACTGTTTCGCCAGGTGGCACAATGGAATCCACGTGGTAGAAGTTCCTCATGTGCCTTGCACCGCCAATGAAAACCGCGGCTCGAGAGAAACTGCATGACGCATGCGGAGACTCTGACAAGATGTCCCCTGACACGCATAGACAGGGAGAAGTGGCTGAAGTTACAGGGTTACAAATTGTGTTACCAAGTTGGGCTGCTGTGCAGCCTTCTGCCTCAATAGTTTGCCTTCGTCATTAACATGTCAGGAAAGCCGTAGTCATACAGGCAACTCTCCTCTGAGCTCGCATCAGCGCATGCATCTCCGTTGATTTTCCGAGTCATTGCAGTTGAAAATAACCCATTTACCGGTCATATCAGTTTCCGTTAAACACCAACAAGTAACAGTAAACAATCTCCTTGGGCAAGTGGAAGCATTTGTCACGGGCTGGGCTGTTCCAAAAAATGTCCAGGTGTGGCAAGGGCAGGTTGTTTGAGCCAATTCGGTTGATGCCAATATGCGCAAAAGCCAGATAGGACAAGACAGGGTTACTTGTTGGGCCTCTTGTTTGAGCTGTTTGCCATGAGACGATCCTCAGACAAGTGGCTCATCCGGCACAGAGTCCAGGATGGAAAACTCCACCTGAGAGCGTTCGGAAAACAACAGGCATAACGTGGCAAAGGGATGCACACAAACCAGCAGCCCTGGTGAACAACCCTTTCATCAAAGAAACAAGACATCTATCCGACATAAACCTTTGGAAAATCAGGCATGCACTCCCAAATCAAAGGTGCTTCAATGGAACATCACGCAGGAAACTTGGTAACATGTTTGCGCCTTGAAAAGGAGAGTCGGAGAGGTATCGAGTTTGCCAGCTTCAGGGAACAAGCCACATTGGCCGTGGCAGACATTTTGGGGTTTGGACAACTACACATGTCAACCGTGTCACGTTGTGAACCTAGCACGTGCCAACTTCCCCTTTCATGCTGGCTCGCATGCGAATCTTTGGCAATAGCTCTGGGGGGTCCTTGCATCAATGGTTCCCAAAACTTGGGAGAGCTCCAAAACGATGGCAATAATTTCAGGCCTCAAAAGGCCGAATCAAACAGAAAATGACACTGGCACTGCCAAGAGACCTACTTGCAAGCATGATTGAAAGGTAAGTCGCAAAAAGTCACCCCCGGCCCAAACAAATATGTGTCGTAAAATCGAGGCCTTTGGCGTTTTTATGGACCCTCCCCCCTCAAAAACCCCCGACCCAGGCGCTGAAACCAAACCAGGCACCCTCCACCACGCCCGGGGCGCACACCGGCAGCCGCACATGGGCCACCTGCGGGCCTGCCAAGTCCATTAGCCGCAGCGCCGCATCCTGGAAGTGGACCGTTGGAGGGAGGTCAGGTGGCTCGGAGGTTCGGTTAGGTGAGGTGTGGTCTGTGGTTTCTCCTTTTGTCCAAGCCACTATTTTGTCAGCTTCCACGATAGGGACAAATGGTTTGAAGCACCCTTTTGCATACTTCACATGACCCCAACAGGCTTGCTGCTCCCCGAAAGGACCCCCCCAACCAGATTTGCGAGGTCGCAACAACTTCTCAGATATCGGAGGACAGCAATGCAAACCCATCCCCCACGTTTGGGAAAGGAAATGTTGGATCGCCTTCTGAGAAAGGTGATATCACTGCAGTTGCGAGACGTTCATCCGAGGCACTCGAAACCGCCTTCACCCCCCCGGCCAATCGGTCAGCCCGGCATTTCTGCACTCGCGTAAAGGAATGCGAATCGAAAGCAACTCAGATCCGGTGGAAAATGGTGGAAAACCGTTCAGATCCGGTGGATTTGCTTTGGTTCTGGCGGCTAACTTGCTGGTGCTGAGCAAAAAATGAGGGAATGAATGACCCCTTATAAACCATCCAACTGGTGGTTTCCTTTCAGGGGACCAAAGGATTCATTCCCACATTCCCTACCTATCGCACCAGCAAGTACACTGGAGCCATTTGCCCCACTTGCCCCACGGCTCGCCGCTCAGCCCGTCCTCCAAGACAGGCAGGGCGCTCTCGTGGAGCAGAGCCGAGAAGCTGGAGATGGTGGCGAAGAGGAAGGCCACCGTCGC